AAATTGTGTATGCGGCTATGTGTTCTCAGAATAAAGGAGTTATTTGCAACATTTCAATAAGACTGCTCTTCTGTTTTCCAGGAGGATAGATTTGTCAGTCACTTACTAGGGTGCTCATTAGGAATTTGTGGTATCTCCCATACTTGTCAAATGTGTACCATTGCTTCAGCTACAACATACTCTTTGAGCTCAGTATGGTGGGTTTCAGTTGCTTGATGGACTCCTTGGTTTTGCCACAACAGGTAGGGAGTGTGGTCAAGGAGAGAAAAGGAAATGGGGTTGTGGTTCACTGAGATGTTGAAGGGACACCGTGTCACCTACCAGGCATCAAGGGCCAGCTCAAGTGGATGAAGAAGGAAATGACTTTTGGTTCCTAGAAGCTTCACCCATCTGACAGGAATAGAACAGGTAAGAAATGGAGCAAACTAGCGCTTCCCAGCTCACCGTTTGGTGAGTGGAAAAGGAAGGGCATGGACCAGTCAATCCTCTGATCCAGAAGCCAGAGTGAGGTTTCCTCAACAGGAAACAGAGGTGTTCATTCCATTGCCTCCCCTAAGGAAGGATATCCCCAGTGTTCAAGCAGGTCGCTCCTAGCTTACTGCAAGACACTTATGGTTAATTAATAAAAAGTTGGCTTTTTGGTCCATTGGTGTGTCTTATGCCAACTTTCTGGGGTATGGGGGAATTTATTCTTGTAGATCAAATATTACATATGTGCAGAACAGATATCTGTCTGGCCCACAGGAAAATGTGGCATTTGAGGGTGCACCCTGGTGTGCCTTGCTCACCAATGCTATGAAACCCTAGAGACATCAAAAAGTGTCCAAAACCTGCAGACTGGGTGGTTTTGTGATCTTTCCTTGCAGTTCTAGTCTAATAATGTATAGCCGCATAAATCAGGGGCAGGGAACTGTGTCCATCCAGATGTCGCTAGATTGCAGATCCCATCTGTCCCAGCCAACATGGGCAAGAGTCAAGGATGATGGGACTTGGAGTCTAGCAACAGCTGGAGAACCACAGACTGGTAAGGAGGACAATGTGAGAGGTAAATTGTTGATTTGCCACAGGTTTTGGTTGTGCTGGCTCAATAAGCAAGGAGGAGTCCACACTTGCATCTTCTTGATCCTTCAGAAGCCATCACTACTTGTCCTCCAGATTGGACAGAGCCAAGACGGCATAATTCTGCAATTGTTTGCGCTCATCCAGGTTATACTGCAGCTTCTCCAGCAGCTCAAAGTAGCGGAAGAGGGCGTCACGGGGCCAAATGACCTGCTCGTCATTCTCAGCCTCGTATAGCCCTGGCAGGTTCTTGTGGACATATGTTTCCCAATCCAGAGGCCCAGCCTCGACTTCTGGTATGCTGTATATTGTGGATGGCCCCATGCTCATTTTGTCCTGCCCCTGGGGTGAGCTGTACTTCTTTTCCAGCAGTTCCAGCTTAAATTTGTCAGCTTTCTGCTGAGTCTCAATCTGCTTCATTTCTTCACTCAATTCATTCCGAATGGTCTGGAAATTGGTGACCATGGTAGCCACCATGAGGTTTCTGAAGATGAATGCCCCAACGAGGAGCCACAAGCAGATAAACAAGCCACTGATTGCTTTGTTTATCTCTGGGACCTTCCACGTGTCCTGCAGCAGAGCATACCAATGGTCCATGGTGAAGAGAATGAAGATGGTCACCAGTGAATTGGGCATGTCTTGAAAATACTTGTTGTACTCTAGGTCATCCAGGTTTGAGCGAGTATAGCCTTCAAAGAAGAAAATGCCTGATACGGCAAAAACATAGAAGAAGAAGGCGAGGAGCACCAGGATGAAGCTCATGGCTTTCATTGCTTTGAAGAGGGCCATAATGAGGATCCGGATTTGCCGGAGTCTAGGGAAGAGCTTTAAGCATCGCATCACACGGCAAACCTGGAGGAAGTAGGTGACGGCCTTGCTGTGTTTCTTTTCAACAAGGAGTATCAACTCAGGGATAAAGGATATGATGGTGACTGTGCAGTCAAAGACATTCCAGGAGTTCTTAAAATAATCCTGAAAGCTAACAGCCCAGTTCAGCCCAATTTCCACCAAAAAGATGAGGACAATGACCCAGATGATCACCTCCATTGCTATCTTCATTTTCACAAAGTGGTCCTCCAACTTATCCCTTATTTCTACTAAGATCATGAGGACCACCATGTTCAGGCAGATGAGGAAGATCATGAAGACTTTGAAGATTTGGCTGTTCAGGATTGAATAAGCCCACATGGTGACAGGGGGCCAGCGGCTGCAGCGCACGCGGATACGGTTACGGCAGCGTGTTTCTCGCGTGATCATGACATTCCGTTTGGGCACAACATTGAAGCGCACCAGCTGGTGATGGTCTGTGAGCATTATCTTCTTTAGCTTCCGATGGTCCAGGAAATCTCGTATGTTATGGCGTGGAATAGCACTGCCTAGCCCCCGTAGATAGTCAATCAGATAGAAAGTGTAGATCAGCTTGGAGCGGATGGCATCTGCTCGGGGATGCAGTTCAAAGGGTACTTCATTTGTCTCTTTGGGAGCATGTGATGAGGGTGGCTCGTCCTCCATGACTCCTGCTGGCTCCTCCTGGTACGGCCCAGAGGAGATTGGAAGGTTCTTCATACAGCATAATAGACACTCAGTGGTGACCTCACAGTTGAGAGTATTCTCCTGGAGCATTCAGAGCATTCCACTAGCCTGATTCTATTGGTATTCCTAGGACTGCAATTCTTAGGATCAATGCATGCAAGTTATACAGTGGCATGCAGACATGAGCCAGTATATAGTCTAATCACAGTGGTCTATGCATCTGTAACCTCAACGCTTGATTTGTTTGGGCCCTTTATTTGTTTTGAACCCTGATTCTTTTGCGGCATTGGCTACCCCTCCCAATTTGGTGTCATCTGAAAATTGAGAGTCCCCTCAATTCTTTCATCCATGTCATTTAGAAAGATGTTGAACAACAACGGGTCCAGGACAAAACTCTGCTGCACCCTACTTGTCTCTTTTTTCCAGCATGATGAGGAACCATTAGTGAGCACTCTTTGGGTCTGAACTGTCAACCAGCCAGAAATCCACCTAACAGTTCCCTTGTCCACCCCACATTTTACGAGCTTCTCCATGCGGATATCATGGGAGAGTTTGCCAACAGCCTTCCTGAAACCAAGATACACTATGTCCACAGCAGGGAGGGAACAGCTGGCTGGGTCAGGGAGGTGATCAGTGCCTCTTTCCGAGAGGGAGTGGTCACTGCCTGTTTGAAGGAGGAAGTGATAAGACCACTCCTTAAGAAACCTTTGCTAGATTTATTTGGAGTGGGGGGGAAAACAAGAATCAAACACCAAATACTCATAGACCAAAGGGAGAGGGGAGGCTTTGCCCTACCAGAGTTAGAACTTTATCACACAACTGCTGGGCTGGTATAGATAAAAGACTGGATTGCTTTAAGGGAAATGGATGTGCTAGACCTGGAAGGTTTTGACAATCGATACGGTTGGCACGCGTATCTAATTTATGAAAAGCTGAGGGCACACAAGGGATTTTTGAATCACATTATAAGAAAATCCTTATATAAGATCTGGATAAAATATACAGTGGTACCTCGGGTTAAGAACTTAATTTGTTCTTGATGTTCGTTCTTAACCTGAAACTGTTCTTAACCTGAAGCGCCACTTTAGCTAATGGGGCCTCCCGCTGCTGCCGCGCCACGATTTCTGTTCTCATCCTGAAGCAAAGTTCTTAATCCGAGGTACTACTTCTGGGTTAGCGGAGTCTGTAACCTGAAGTGTCTGTAACCTGAAGCAGCTTTAACCCAAGGTACCACTGTAAAGGATTATTAGAACCAAAGATTCCCTTGTGGACCTCACCGATAGAAGCCCTGGCAAAGAGACTGGGCCATATACAGAGTGCTGATAGAAGAAATTAATGATAACTTCAGATTGAAAGAATTTGAAGAAATTAGAAGACACTTGACAGACTGGCTGCAAGATTTTCAGATAAATGAAAGATTGAGCTTAGACAGAAAGGAAGGTCTTGTAAAAGAAACATCTAGATTTGAAAAAATAATTAATTCAATATAAAGGAAAATAAATTTAAAGAATATATAACCTCCTTTTAGAATGGGAGGTGAAAGAAGAATTGATGAAAGGGACAATGGTGAAATGGGCGCAAGACCTAGGGTATAACATCTATATGGATCAATGGGAGAAACTATGGAGGGAGGGCATTAAATTTACAGCAGAAACTATGGAGGGAGGGCATTAAATTTACGGCATGCTATAATCTCAGAGAAAATATTATGAAAATGCAGTACAGTTGGCACCACACTCCAGCAAAACTTGCGAAGATGTATAAAAATAGATCACCAACTTGCTGGAGGTGTAAAGATGGTATAGGGTCATATATACAGTACACATGTGGTAGGAATGCACAGCCATTAAGGAATTTTGGAATAACATCTACAATGAATTTAAAAAGTTATTTAATTTCTCATTTAAGAAAAAACCTGAAACCTTCCTCCTAGGTATAATGTCATCAGAAATCAAAAAAGATGTTAGACTACTTTTTTATGTACACGACAGTAGCAGCCAGGATCTTAATTGCAAGAAACTGGAAAAGTGATAAAACACCTGTGATAAATGAGTGGCAGGTCCAAATGATAGAATATCTGCAGTTGGCTATTATGACTGGGAGAGTCAGAGGATATCCAAAACAGAAAGCACAGAAAGAATGGAAAATCTTTAAAGAATACCTAGAAAACTATTGTAATAATAAACATCTCCTGGCAGAACCAGAATGATTCTTGTAAAATAAGAAACATAATGTTTTTGTTATCTGATAAAAACAAAGAAAGCAATACAGTAATTTGGAACTGTGTGTGAAAGAACAATAGAAACAATAATACAATGAGTCTAATTGGAAGTTAAATGTATTTATTTTCTCTTTTTATTTTTATTTTTTAATTTCTTCCTTTTTCTTCTTCCTTTTTAAATTTTCTTCTCTTCTCACTTTTCCCTTTTAGTCTCTTTTCTTTCTGATCTGCTAAGAGACAAAGTTAAAAATGAAAAGTTGACTAATTCGAAGCAATGTTTTGTAGTTTGTTAACTATTGTTAAAGATGGTCAACTGCAGCAAACAGTGAATAATGTATTAGTTATTGTTGATTTATTGTTATTGTCAAATCTTAAATAAAATTTAATTAAAAAGAAAATAGAAACTTTCCCTGGATTCAGAAAACCTAACTAACTACCGGCCAGTTGCTAATCTACCTTTCCCGAGCAAGGTTCTGGAGCAAGTGGTCGCAGACGAGATCCAGGTGCTTTTGGAAGAAACTGATTTTCTGGATCCATTTCAATTGGGGTTCAGGCCTTGTTTGGGTTCCAGTCATACTTGGATGGTCATTCCCAGAGAGTGCTGCTTGGGGAATGCTTTTCAGCCCCATAGAACCTTCATTGTGGGATTCCTCAGGGCTCAATCGTATCCTCTACATTGTTTAACATCCACATGAAACTGCTGTGTGGGGTTATCTGGAGGTTTGGAGTACGTTGTCAACAGTATACTGACGACACTCAGCTCTATTTCTCTGTTACATCTGCAGGTGAGGCAGTGGAAATGCTGGACCAGTGTCTAGCCTTGGTAATGGAATGGATGAGACCCAACAAACTGAAACTCAATCCAGATAAGACCGAGGCACTGTTAGTGGGTAGTTCCCTAGACTGGATGGGTGGGAAATCCCCTGCTCTTGGTGGGGTTACACTTCCTCTGAAGGAGCAGATACATAGCTTGGGGGTACTCCTGAATCCTTTGCTGTCACTCGAGGCTCAGATGGCCTCAGTGGCCTGGAGTGCCTTCCATCAGCTTTGGCTGGTGGCCCAGCTATGCCCCTATCTGGACAGAGATAGCCTAACTACTGTTGTCTATGCTCTGGTAATCTCAAGGTTAGATTTGTGCAATGCATTATACATAAGGCTGCCTCTGAAGATGGTTCAGAAACTTCTGGTAGTGCAGAATTCAGCATCCGGGTTGCTCACTGAAGCAAGATGGTTTGAACATATTACATATCCTGGTCCAACTGCACTGGCTACTAATTAGTTTCCAGGCCCAATTCAAAGTGCTGGTTTTGACCTATAAAGCCTTAAATGGCTCAGGACCACAATACCTCAAGGACCACCTCTTTCCATATGAACCTACCCAGACTCTGAGATCATCTTCTGAAGCCCTTCTTTGTGTGCCTCCTCCTCAAGAGGTCTGGAGAGTGGCAACATGAGAGCAGGGCCTTCTCTGCAGTCTATGGGATGCTCTCTCTTCATTATGCACCTTTAGGTGCCAGGCAAAAACATTCCTTTTTAACCATGCCTTTGGTTGACTATGCCCTTTTAAAATGTGGGTTTTTTGGGGGGGATTATTGGGTTGTTGCTTTTATTTTGATAATTTATTTTGTGGTTTTAGATTTTGATTTTATTCCGTGAACCCCCCTGAGACCTTTGGGTATATAAATTCCCAGGGCAGTATATAAATTCATATACTACTAACTACTACTACTACTACTACTACTACTACTACTAATCCCCCTTGTATGCCAAGCTTCTAACTCTATCAAAAAAAGACATGTGATTGGTCTGGCATGACTTGTTTTTGAGAAAACCATGATGAGTTTTAATAATCACAGCATCCTTTTCTAATTATCCTTTATTATCCATGAATCTGTCTTCTCAGAATTCCCTCCCTTCCTTCCATGATGTTTCTATTCAAATCCTTTGTCTACTGCCTTGAATGTAATACTTACTTCCATAACATGCAGGTATATTCTGCATTACATTCCTTTATCATTGTCATTCCTTTGCTTATATTCCCAGTCCTGTCTGCTATTTCAGTTGACTGTAATATTGTCTCAGATGATCCACAAACATCCTCTCGATGTGACATTCAATCGCTAGTCTGCACTGGTCCACACAGTGTCTCCTAACACTGAGTGACCTGGGGCAACATCCTGCCAGTCCTCATCTGTCTCCTCATGATGGGGGGGGGGAGGATGAGCCCCCTCAGTGGCTATGTGGGGGCTGTAAAGACCTCAGCCCCATGGAGTTGGTGCGCCTGATCAGATGGCAACTCTAAAGGGGCTTGCTGTAACCACCAACCATCTGATAAGCAGTTATAGCAAACTGCTTTGAAGTCTTTTTGCAGGCATGGTTTAGAGTCAAGCCACACCTGCAAGCAGCTGAAGAGGAAACAGGCTCATTTGCAGGTGAAACTAGAACTTGATAGGGAACACCCTGGTGCAGCCAATACCACTGGGACTTGCTTTCAAAGGATCAGGAGCTCTCCTTAAGCTCTGTGTGTTCCTTTGGAGCCACGCCCTTAGCTACCCCACACCTCAACATCACATCAGGGACTCAGCTAGACTGGTAAAGAAAAAATATTTTATATGTGTTGTATATGCCAACAAAGGTCCGTATAGTTAAAGCTACATTTTTCCCAGTCGTGATGTATGGAAGTGAGAGCTGGACCATAAAGAAGGCTGATCGCCGAAGAATTGATGCTTTTGAATTATGGTGCTGGTGGAGACTCTTGAGAGTACCATGGACTGCAAGAAGATCAAACCTCTCCATTCTTAAGGAAATCAGCCCTGAGTCCTCACTGGAAGGACAGATTGTGAAGCTGAGGCTCCAATACTTTGGCCACCTCATGAGAAGAGAAGACTCCCTGGAAAAGACCCTGATGTTGGGAAAGATTGAGGGCGCAAGAAGAAGGGGACGACAGAGGATGAGATGGTTGGGCAGTGGGGGCGGGCCCACTAGGGGCGCATTGGAAGATGGCTGACAATAACATCTCGCCGACCCAACACGAGGTAATTAAGAGGCTGTGATGGGAGTAAGCAGCCTTCCGACCCCCCCAAGCGAGTGGGGGGGACTGCCCTTGCTTGCTGTGCCCTATACCACCCCCGAATTTGAGGGGGTGGGGGCACTAGGCAGAAAGCCCTTGCGTGGACTTCGGATCTTCTGGACGCTGTCTCTGATTCTCGCCTCTAGCTGCAGCAACTTCAAAAGAAACAATTAGAAGGAAGCTAATGCACATATTTCAAGGAAGAATGGGGAGTAAAGACTGCTAATTGAAGAGATCTCTGAGAAAGAAGACGGGTCGGATAAACAGGAATATATCATGAGAAGACACACCAAGGCTCGGTATGTCAACAACGGGACTGGATGGGGGGGGGACTTTCCTTTCTTTTCTTTATGTGATTAACTAAGAACCCTCCCCCCCACAAGTCAGAAATGCAGCTTAAATGACCTAAGCTGATGATTTAAGACTGTGTGGAGATAATTTTCTAACCAAAAGCATGTTTTAAGGAGATTGTGGAAAGTATAAGAGCTTTGGGATGACGCAGTAAAAAATAGCGTCGCCATTTTGGCAAGTTCTGTCGAAAGACTTATGTCTGGGAGGAGGAACAGATCTGTTTTTATTGTGGGCGAGCCTCCTCAGAGGGACCAAAGAAGGCGACAGATTTGCGAAGATTAATGATGGAAAAACTGCTTTTATTTATGGAAGTGATGATACATGGAAACCATCTCGATATGGTGATTGGACGAACGGAAAAATTCACACAGGATTATAACTGGTGTTTACCCGCTTAAGGAAATTATCAGAAGAGATCACAAAGAAAAAAGAAAAATATATGAATAAGATGAGATGTGGGAACAGCAAGATAGGACTGGATAGAATTATGAACATTATTTGAACAGATTTGTGGATATTAATGCAGCAGCAAGAAGATGATTGGAATCCCCTTCAGATCTTGAAATATGGGTCTCCCAACAAAAAAATTAAAATTCGGCTTTGTAATTCGGAATTTATGTGATGTGATTTGATTTGATTTGATTGGTCGGTTAATAAAAATTATTTTTTTTAAAAAAAGAGATGGTTGGGCAGTGTTCTGGAAGCTACCAGTATGAGTTTGACCAAACTGTGGGAGGCAGTGGAAGACAGGAGTGCCTGGCGTTCTCTGGTCCATGGGGTCATGAAGAGTTGGACATGACTAAATGACTAAACAACAACAACAACATATGCGATATAACACTGTGACACAGGTGGCGCGGTAGAGTCCCATCTTTTGCCTACCAGATTTCCCTGTATGAGTTTGCAATGCGTTTAGCTGGATCGCTTCTTTGACATGTCTATATCCAGCCCAGGTGTGAGGTGGGTAGGCATGATTGGGGGGACACACAACCTTGTGGGCCAAATGGAAACCTGTGCCAAGTCTACTTACACCAGAGGTTCCCCATCCCTGTCCTGAGCCGATAAGTCTGTTCTGATGGCGAAGACAAACATTACATTGCATTTGCTGAGCTGCCTCTGTTCATGCAGAGCAGGAAGAGTGTCAATCTACTTGGACCAGTTTTTGGCTCACAAGCCACCAGGAACAATTCAATTTGCTTAATGTGGACCACCCTCATTGCAAAAGGAACTCATTAGCTCACCCAGCTGTCTGACAGTGGCAGACAACAAAATCTGAGGCTTGGCAAAGGGAGATGGGATCTGGCAGTTTCTGTGTGGAAGCTGCAGAAATCAAATTCCTAAAGAATCCCTACTCAAGGCTAAGGAAACGGGGTATATGTTGCTGCCTTATGGAAGATGCCTGTTGCTTGCTTCCACCAATCATTACCTCTACACTTAGAGCCTATTGCAATTAAGCAGTATATTTTTTTTAAAAAAATAAATTTTATTAGTTTTTAACATATCATTTTCAACAATAATTAAACATACTTTTATATATTATACAGTTTTTTGACTTCCATCAATCACATCTGAAAATTTTCCAATCTATTCCCTTAATTTACATTTCTTACTTTCACTATTACATTTAAATCTCATAATTAATATCTCTATTCTTTCTCTACTTTGCAATGTTTCATATATTTCTCCTTACAAAACTTCTTGTAGTCCTACTAGCGTAATTTGTTGATTACAGTTGCTCTTCAAATAGTTCATATAGTTCCTCCAATCTTCTGTGAATCTCTGGTCCCGCAGGTTTCGAATCCTTCCTGTCATTTTATCTAATTCTGCGTAGTCTATTAATTTTATCTGCCATTGTTCTGCAATTAAGTAGTATATAAATCATTGAAACAAACAAATAAATGTGTAAATAAAGGAGCTATTACAAAGATGCCATACATTCCAGGATAGGGAAACCTTCTTCAGCCCAAGGGACATGTTCCCTCATACAGAATTTTCTGGGGCTACCTGCCAGTCGTGGGTGGGGCGATGGATGTGACATCATTGTACAGTCAGCTACATTCCAGCCAGGCAACAATGAGACGTTTCCATGCACACACAATATCCTGTTTTATTTGCTGTGCTGTTTCAATGAGATTTTTTAATTGTCTGTTTTAATTAAGGATGCTTATGTCTTAACGCTCACGAGGCTGACTTTTATACTATGCACACCACATAGAAGCTGATTTCGGCATTAAGCAGACTATACTGTTGCAAAAGGGACGCGGGTGGCGTTGTGGGTTAAACCATAGAGCCTAGGACTTGCCGATCAGAAGGTCGGCGGTTCGAATCCCCACGATGGGGTGAGCTCCTGTTGTTCGGTCCCTGCTCCTGCCAACCTAGCAGTTCGAAAGCACATCAAAGTGCAAGTAGATAAATAGGTACCACTCTGGCGGGAAGGTAAACGGCATTTCTGTGTGCTGCTCTGGTTCGCCAGAAGCGGCTTAGTCATGCTGGCCACATGACCCAGAAGCTGTACGCTGGCTCCTTTGGCCAATAAAGCAAGATGAGCACTGCAACCCCAGAGTCGGCCACAACTGGACCTAATGGTCAGGGGTCCCTTTACCTTTCTTTACCTTACTGTTACAAAAGTTGGGTGCCACCCTCACTCTTTGCTGGGAGGTGGCAGGAGCTCATGGGGTTCCAGGGTCTGTGTTCCTCTGGAGAATTGAGACACAGTGGAGACTGTCATAACTTTGAGAAATATGGTTTATTTACCTATTTATACCTTCAGTCTGTATGAAGGAAGTCCATATCTTACAGCATGGGTAGGCAAACTAAGGCCTGGGGGCCAGATCCGGCCCAATCGTCTTCTAAATCCTGACTGCGGACGGTCCGGGAATCAGCATGTTTTTACATGAGTAGAATGTGTCCTTTTATTTAAAATGCATCTCTTGGGTTATTTGTGGGGCATAGGAATTCATTCATTCCCCCCCCAAAAAAATATAGTCTGGCCCCCCACAAGGTCTGAGGGACAGTGGACCAGCCCCCTGCTGAAAAAGTTTGCTGACCCTGTCTTACAGCACGGGCATTTCAAGAGGGGTGTAACCCCCACAGCAGTTCAGCCACAGAGACCAGGGCATTTCTCCCAGCCTGCCTGCAGCCAGCCTACCCAAGATGAATTCCAGTCTTTTCTCTTCCAGCTTCTTCCTCCCAGAACCGCCAGCTAAAACTCTCTTTTCCGGTCACCTCACACCCAGTTGGTAACCTTCCAAACCCCAGTCTCTGTTTACACTTCAGGGTAAGGTGGCGTGGGGTGGGTGGGGAGGACAGTTCTCTTGCATTGCGAATGGCTCTCAGTGTCACTGTATTGCTTCTTAATGGCCTTAGCTTGGCCCGGTCGTTTTGCAGAGGCTAGCCCAGGAATTCCTCTGCAGTTTGTATTTCCCCCTTCACACCCTAAATAATCAAAACCCAGGACTTTTTTTCAGCCAGAACTTGCGGGAACTGAGTTCCAGCACCTCTCAGATGGGTGCCATTGCTATTGTAGGAGAACAAGCAAGGTTTTTCATGTTGAGTTCTGGCACCTCTTTTTCTAGAAAAATAGAACTGCCAAAATCCTACTATTTATTAATTTCTAGGGTTTGTGGGGGAGTCCCCCTCCCACATCTATAACAAGATGATGATGATGAATTGAACTAATGAGTCCCCTTAGGGGAAGATCTGCACAAAGACTTCTGCTTGAGAGGGGATTTCTTCCCCTCTCCTCCCTGTGAAGCCTCCCAAAAATGGCTTGGGGGCTGGGAGAACCCCTGGAAAAACACATGGGGCAGTGAGGAGAGGAGACGAGAGAATTCCAGCCAGCAATACTGACCTTCATGGAACAATTGCCTTTAACACAATGTTGAATGAGGTTCCCCACCCCAGCTGTAAGTCTTTGGTGTGCCCTCTTACAAGGAATTCTAGCCCAGCTAGTATTGTCTTGGTTACACACTGCATGCAATGATGCAACATGCAGCAATACGTTACATCATCTGCATGGTGCAACTGAGGGGTCGCCTTGCCCTGCCACCATACAAAGACTGAGTAAACTGCTAAACTTAGCTTTAGCTCAGAGGTGGGTTACTTGCCTTGCATGGAGATGGCCATAGGTTCAAATGCCAGGCAGGCTGTGAAAGGTTCTTCTCTGAAACCTGGGAAACCCACGGTCAATAATACTGAGCTAGATTGTCCAATGGTCTGACTTGGTGTAAGGGGGTTTCCTTTGCCGTAGAACTGACATCCCAATTAATGCTGAGCGGTTTAAGTGTGGCAGATACTGACTGCGCTCACAGATATCAGACTCTGAGGTCTCTTCTGGTCAATTCTGGCTAAGTATTCAGTGCAGCCTCCCGATATCCTCTGGCACCAATTAGACAAACATCCTCCTCTTCATTTGGCAATAGACCCAAAGCTGCTGATCTCATATTTTCCTCTCCTCCTGATTCTGAGTCACACTTTGATTTCCACCCAGCAGGGCAACTGAATATTTGCACTGCAGACTGGTAATTAGAAATGTCACTTTGGCCGCAGCTAACAAGGAGCGTAGCTCTTTTGTCTTTGCAGCAGGTAACATTATGAAGGTTACAGAAGAGGCTGATGGATTGTTTTGATGTGAGCTGGGAGAATTGAGTAGCAAAAAGCAGGGGAATGACATTTTCTTAAACTCCCCCCCCCCTAAAAAAACCCATGGAAATTTACCATGTCAAAATCTTTAAAATTACCCTGTGCTTTCAGATGAAAAATGCTTCCCTACCCCAGTTTGATTTGGAATCGAGTTTGACAAACATAGGTTTGCTGTTGTTGTTTTTTAAATAAAAAAAATCAGGTCATTTAATTCTGCAGATCATTTAGAACCTCCCAATTCCCCTGATAACATGGCTGTGAGTATAACAGCATCCTCCTCCATCCCTCAATCTTCCATAAGCTCCAAACCTGCCCCCTTTTCTTGCTTCTGCAGTGGCTTCTGTATCTTCTCTACCAATAGTTTGTTAGCACAAGCATCTCTCAATTTCTCCATCCCTTCCACTCCTATTTCTCTTTGGTTCTTGGCAATGGCAGCATTTCAGGCACCAGAGATATTTAGAAAGCTTGCTCTCCCAGTGCTACCTGAATCTGCGATATTGTCAAGTTGGCATTTCAAGCTCCAGGGAGGGAGGGAGGACCCCTCCTCATCAGCAACACATTCTGGCAAGTGGGTGTGGGGTGGACTGAGAGAAAACCATGGATCATTCTGGGTAAACTGGTACCAGTCTGGAATACTGGCACGTTAGAACTTCTGAACTGGGTCCTTACAGCATTTGGCAATTATGGACACATAGACATGGCACTACAGATATTTGGGGGACTAACTTGTCCATCCCTTATGCTCAGGGCTGTCCTAAGTATGCGGCCCCAGGGTGCAAAGATCCGCCCGGCACCCCCCCCGGTTGCCCAGTCCCAGGTGTGCAGGAGGGCAGAGCCGGCCGGCTGCCTCAGCGTCTTGCTGGCTCGGTCGCCCCTGAACTCATGGTGCAGAGCCTCCCACAGCAGAAGAGCCTATAGCAGTGCTCTGACCAATGGGTGGACTCAACTCTCAGGCCCCGGATTCTCGGCCTGGCGCCCCTGAGAGCCCAGCGTCTGGGTGCCCTTCACCCCTAGTGCCTATGGGTAAGACGGCCCTGTATATGCTCTTCTGATTCTTTTGGTACTGCAAGAGGACCAGAGTTTTCCTCCCATCATAGAAATGTTCCCAAACTGGTGCCCTCTAGACATTGCTGGATTATACTCTCATCATTCCTGGCCATTGGTCCTTGTGGCTCAGCCTGATGGGAGTTGTAGTCCAATAATGCCTGGATGACACCTTGTTGGGAGGGTTCTATTTGTGAATGCAGGTAAAAGTTCTCTGTAGCCCTTCTCTGCTCAACGTGTGAATGGGTTGAGTGCACAGAGTCTGTCCAAAGCAATTGGAAGGACGGATGACTTGCATGCACACTTCAATACCGCCGCCCCATCCTTGGATACAAAGTTCACATGGTCAGGCAAATGCTTAAACACACCTACATTATCTTGAACTATGAATGTGCCAAACTCCAGCTTTCTGGTTCCTATATTTTTTAGTTGACTCTCTTGATGGATAAGTTTTCCAAAAATCAGATCTTCTTGGACTTGCTAGGTAAGAGTGTAGCTTGCATATTTGGGATAAATGCTTTGAACCCCCAGTTTAAGGAAGACATAATAAAAGGTACAATTTCCACAGTTTCCTAGTAACTGGGATGCTTTGGCCTGTGTGTGTGTGTGTGTGTGTGTGTGCCAAGTTTCAGAACTGTAGCTCGTTAAGCAATAACTTTTACAATTTTGATACCCTGATGAGTGAGTGAGTGAACCCCAAATGTCAATCTCTGTGTTTGTGTGTTTAATACAGAACACACTGAGGAATTGATCCAGCAATGCAAATGACAAAAGCAGAGCCATAATTCTGGCGAACCAACAGGGGTAATTCCTATTATGCAGAGTATTTCACACTCTTTGGGCATTGGGCAGATTAGCACAAATTGAATTTCATGCTAACCGGCTCAGGGCAATGGGTGCCCTATTTCTATGAACTGTTACTGTATTAAGATAACAATTAAGAGATATTCACACTTCTAAGTATGTGGAAATAGCAACAGTTTTCTTTCCACACAGATAACCTTAAGGAATGTGACTACTCGCTGGAAGCCCCTACCAAATTCTCAAAACTACCCCTCCTTCTAGAGTTAGTTAGTCGTGTAGAAGCACTGGATCTCTGAGCATGTCAGGATCATGGCTGACTCAGATGCTGGAGATACCTTTTTGGTGGCACCACATAGCACCCTGTTCTACTGAAGATGTCATAGAAACCCACACCAGTGCAATAGAAGAGACACATCTCAGATAAGGCTTTCCTAGGACCACCAATGTCTCTTGCTGGACTAATTTGGCCCATGGGCTGGAGGTTCCCCACTTCTGGCATGGAGTTGAG